AGCTCTAAGCAATGGAAGACGGATATCTCAGTTTTGGTACTAAAATTGGAAATCTCCGATTCAGGTACTTTACAAAATCTGCCTTCTTAAACTAAGCTTCAGTCCTTAATTCATTTCCAACAAGCTCTAAAAGTACTGGTCCTTAGGATTTTTAAAATGTACAGGACTTTGGAAAAATAGTACCACTTTTCTTTTAAAAATAAAATTCATATTTGTTTTGGTACTACCTCGTCCTAAGTAGAAATTAGAACTATAGGGAATGAAAAATGATAGTTTTATTTTGGGCCTTGAGAACCCAATAGGAATAATTTCCCTTTAGTATAAAGCTTTCTTTTCTTTTTGGGCCACTCTTTTGGGCTTAGCCAAACTAAAACAGTTATGGTTCTCAAACCAAACGAAACTAATTTTCAAATTGGAACAGTTTCAATTCATAGGTAATTGGTAAAAGATTCCTTCCACTTTTCAACTTATTGGATGTTGAAACTCTTTTACTCTCACCGTTCTATCTACCCAATTAATGGAACTCGTGAACCTCCCCTCTCTCTACCTCCTCTCTTATTTAAATCAAGATATCTCAATCCATTCCTATCACAAACAGCTCTTTCAATATGAAAAATCTTCAAACTCACTGTCTAAGAAACACACCAAGACGGCAATGGAAGAAGCCTAATGAGAAGAAAAGACTTTCAAGGTCTATGGTGAGAATCTCGGCAGTAGAGAAGGTCTGTGGTGAAAATCTCGTATTTTTCAGGATTACACCATACACCTTCTCAGGAACAACACTCTCTCTATCTTTCTTCTTATTTTGAGAGATGTGTTGCTTCCAAGATCTTGAATATCCACTTTGGATATTAAAGATCTATCAAACGCAACGCCAACCGCTCTGCCTATCAAGTTCTGCTGAAGCTGAAAACGGTTAATGGTGGAAAATATCACAAAATCTCAAGACCAGACTTGGTTTAGGAATACTTTTAATTTGAATTGTATTTGTTTAAGAGTTTTTGTTAACAACTGTATATTATGAGAAACTAAAAGAAAGTTATAAAATTAGTTCTCAGTACAGCGACCGGAACTCTTAAACACTTGTTTGTCATCATCAAAAAGGGGGAAATTGTTGGGAAAAATATTATAGATTTTGATGATGATGTATTTAGAATGTAATAGGGACTTTAGGTCTCCCCAAATATTCAATGTAATTTTTATTTTTAGAAATATTGTTAAAACCGAGTTCTTGAGATTTCCAATAAAGTTGTGATATTTCTTTAAACGGTTTGATGCCTGAAGACTTAATCAAATTCAGAAATTTGGAAATTGGATATCCTGATCAGAAATGTCAGAGACAAGTAAGGATCTCTCAAAGCAGACGAAAATCCTCCTATCCGGAATACTACATGAGAACCGGATGTCTCGTTACAACCCACTGAAGGCTAAGTCGGAAGACTAGCGCGGATTTCTTTCTCACCTGGAAGACTGAGTATGACTCTTCCGGATTTGTCAGCTAAGAACCAGATGCCTCAAGGAAGATCGGAATTTTCAAAAAGTGAACAAGTGAGAAAAGACTTAGAAAATTATCTAAGTCTTGAATGAAAAAATTCTACCGTTGGTAAGGAAAAACTCAATCTCTTGATTTTCAACGGCTAGATTGAAGATAATTATGCTGATTCAAGAACAAATGATTCGAAGACAAAGTCTGGACATCTAAAAATTGAAGAACCTGTCCAGAATTTCTAAACAAGCACTAGAAAACAAACAGAGTAAAGTGCTACAGTTCAGAATTCTTGAACAACAACTAGAAGACGGATTCTATGGAAAAAGGAATCCCTCCTTTAA